TTGAAGCCAGTGCAAATTGATAAAAATTTGAGTGACATCATGACGTTGCTTCACTCAAAATCCTCCAGTGATTTCCCTTTGTCCACAGAGTAAAACCGAAAGTTTTTTCCAAGGCCTACAAGCCCTGTGTGATTTGCACTTGAATCCTCTTGCCTCAGGACCTTTGCACCTGCGGTTCCTGCCACCTACTTCTCCTTTTCCCCAAGATATCTGCATGGCTCTTGCTCTTTCACTTTCTTCCAGTCTCTGCAGAAATTTCATTATCAGAGAGCTCTTCCCTGACCATTCGCAACACAATGATCTCCTCCCAGCACCCTCCTGGAATTCCTTAACTACCTTACAATGATTTTTTCATAGTACTTATCACCACTCAACATACATACTTGTTAATGTCAGCCTATATCCATTAAAATATAGCTACAAGAGGGCAGAAACATTATTTTGTTTATTGTTTACCTCCAGAGACTAGGATTATGGGACATCATGGACATTCAATATATACTTGTCACTGACTTATTGCCTGTGGTTCCATAGCCACATTCTGGGACTATTTAAAGCTCCACTGTTTTTTCTAGTCTTCTGTGAGGATTAAGTGAGAAACCATGTGGAGAAACAACAGGCATATGGCTGACAAATCATAAGCCCTTTCTAATATCCATGGAACCCAAATCTTAACTGGGACTTGGTCAGGTCATTTAAGCAGCTCATCTGAGCTCAAGGTTTCACTGACCCTACAGGGGAATTACCATGTTAAAGGGAAATAAAACATCTGAAATTCTATTGTCTTCTCTACAAACTTCATCACAGCGTACAAAAAATAAAGGAAGGAAAATGTAAAAGCAGCTGAGAAAATAGAGAGGCAAGAAGGTAACCTAGAGTGAATGAGGGGGTGGATAATAAGGATGAAATGTAAACGTACACAAGAGTTCTCCAATAAACAACTCCGGTCATTGCAAACTGAAACAAAACAAAACAAACAAACAAAAAACCTGTGAAATATTTTAGTAACTAAAAAAAGTTCTCTATAAGTTAAAAAATGCTTTATATGAAATAAAAAATAGAAGTAGAAAATGAAAAATGTAATGGGATTTTCGTTTCTCCTCATTCTTTCCTGATCATTTTCTTTAAATGAGTTTCTAAGGAAATCAAATGACAACGAAATTTACTTTTTATATGAACACTGTTGCTAAGAAAAGATAAATCAATACTGCCTGGTTATAATATGCAGCTTGCCATCATCTTATGCATTGGTACTTGTTAACATATTCCTACTGGCAACATCAAAATAGCTATGATTTACTGCACACTTATTTTGTGCTAACTCTAGACATATGTTCTCTTTAGTCCTCACAATAACATGTCTAGCTTAGCAGTATGTGCCGCAATTTGTGTATGAGTAAACTGAGGCTCTGACAGTTTGCATGATTTGCCCAAGGTTATAATTATTAAATGTCACATCCAGAACTTGACCCCGAGACTCTGATTCCCAAGTCCTCCCTCACTCCACTCTACCCCTCCATCTCACCATTTATTCTTGCTTTTGCAATGGCATCAATAATTATTCTATGCTTTCCAGAATAGCCCACTATTCTGGAAATATTTACAGTTGAAAGCTGTGAAGCACTGGTGAGAAAAGGCTTAGGCTACATTAAGTCAATTATTTATTTTACTCAGTGCAGAAAACCAAACATTTGTTTCAAGGAAAGTACCGACACCTTCATCTGAATAAATGGTCTATTCTTAAGAGTCATCAATGGATCAGAGCCATACCTGGAGGTTGAGATACAATGCATCTCAACTCTATATTGCTTGCTTAAAAAATCATGCAATATATATGCCCTACTCCAGGATGGCAAAAACATGGGTTTATAGGAAGAGTGGCCCATGTATTTCTTTGCCAAGGAATATGTGGACCTGAGTTCCAACTTCGGCTTTTTTTATTAGCTGTGTGATCTTGGAACAATGCCCTCCCCTCTCTGAGACACATTTTTTTTTGTCTGCAACATTGCAATCATACTTCCTACCTTGAAGGATGATTAATTTATAAGGGGCTAAATGATGAAGTGTGTGTAGCAAAATGCCTAGCACAGACTGGGCTCTCAATATTGGTAGGTTTTGTTAATAAGAAAACGTGATTGTGGGGAGGGAAAGTGGAAAAAAGGAATGAGGAGGGAAAAGAGCTTGGGGGATAGAAGAGGAGTCATGAAAGAGACCTTAGGTGATTTTCAAGCCCACCCACCTTTGGCTCCAATCTTCAACCCCCAGCTACCATAACTCATGTTCCATCTCTCCTTGCCTTCAGCCAGGCCCAGGGCAGTTGCCTTGCTGTTTCCATGTATGGTGCTTCTGCAACCTCCTGCACTTCTACCCAGGAGTATTTTCTTCCTCACACCCTGAGAACAGTTTTCTGTTCCATCCTGGAGCTTGGACACCTGGGGAGGTGCCACATACATTCTTTTGGAATACATTGTCTTATTCTATAAGTTATTCCAGCTGCAGTTTCCCTTAGCATAAGGTTAGTGACAAATAGCTTTATAGAATCATTGAATCAGCTCAATATAATATACATTGGCTTTGAAGAGTACATGTGGGGACCATATTTGAGCTGTGTTATATGATATATGGCCAGTGCATTTACACGATGTGGTAAGTGCTGGAAGCCCCTCCCTGGATGTCATCCCGCTGTGCTTTCAGTGTTTTTATAAATCTCTTATGGCACTTAGCTCATTGTACTCTTATCATGTGTTTATAGGTCTATTTTCCCAGCAAACTCTGAGCTTCTGACCTGGTCTAATTTATGTTTGCACCCTCTAAACTTAAGTTCATTGCCTGGTGCATTGTTGATGCTCCATAAATGTTTGAATGAATGACTCTATAAGTGAGCTCTAGGAGATATATGTATATATAGAGAGAGAGAGAGAGAGAGAGAGATTTCATGCTGGCACTGAATTTATTTGCAGAAAAGGTTATATGAAAATGCAATAGCAAACATATATCTTTTTTGACTTTATTAGCTTTTCATAGCACCTCTTTGCAATGAGGGGGAAACAAACAGTCAGCTTAAGTTGTAGCCAGTAGATTTTCTTGAAGTCTTTGGAAAGCACAGCAACTCTCAGCACTGTGGTTAGTAGCCCTTTCTCTGTCTAATACCAAGAAAAGTGTATTTTGCAGCAACTAGTGCTTCTCCCCTTAAGCCAGTTTGAACTAAAAGGCCCGTAAGTGCAACATGCAGCTAATGTTTCACAGAGCTTTGGTCAGAGAGCATTTTCACTCAGGGCTTGTGATGAACTGGACTTACATTTCCTGCAAACCAGATACCAGATAGCAGCTCAAATCAAAGCCACCAAGTCATGGTCTATGTTCCCATTTCAGAAAGTAAAAACATAAATAATGGTGAGAGCCCCTAAATTTACAATTCATTAAATCCAGTCTCATGGTATCCGGGAGAGACTGAATTTCAAGCCGGGTAACTGAAAACAGGAAATCATTGTTGCAGCCCAAAGTCCGGTTAGGGACTGATTTACCTTAAGAAACTTTACAAAAGGCACTTTGCAGATTCTGCTTTCTAGGATGGAAGTGGAGAGAGATGGTGCTGTAGAATCTTTTTAAAGGGTCCGGAGGGAAAGGCTGAGTGTTGGAGATGCCTCTGGGCTCCTCCCTGGGAAGCTGCAGCCATGTCTTGGAGCAAAAACACCAGCTTAGCAACCCGTTCCTAAGGAAGGTCACTCGGTGGCTTTTTTTTTTCCTTTAAAGTGACAGGTTACTTCCAGTAGTGGAGTACAAGCATGCTGGGTAAGCAGAGACGCACAGCCTGCAGCAGAAGGACTGAGAGAAATCAACATGGGCAGCACTGGAAATTAGATTAAGCCTTAAGAGCCGCCCCTCCCTCATGTCATCTGGTCGTCTTGCATTTCCAATGAAGAACAGGCTCAGAGGTGGGGCGATTTAGAATCTTAAAAGGTCATCATTACATGGTGAAGCTGTCTAACGTGGCAGCAGCAAAAGCTCTGTGGAGGTGCTGCAGGGTACCAGCAGCACCTGCAGTGTTGCGCTCAAGTGTTTTCCAGTTAAAAGTGGAAGGTTGAATGCACAAGTTTAATCTTTGCCTATTCTCTGAATCCCACTGCAATTCCTGAAAACGGATATAAATGTTATGGCTCAAAAAAGTTGAAAAGAAAAAAAAAAAGAGAGAAGAAAGAGGCAAAGTAGAGTAATAGAATGAATGGAAGAGTAATAGAATGAATGGAGCCAAGGAAACCACACTCCAAATAGACTAGTGTGTATGTGCACATGTGTTTGTGTGTATCTGTATCTGTGTATTTTGTGTGTACGTTTGTGTGTATGTGTATTGACTGTATTCTTGATGCCCTGGCATTTGGAGCCTTGATCCTGGAGAAACTGATTCTCCTAGGTTAGCTAATTTCTAGAGATAGCAAATGATTCCCCTGAAATATGCAAAGTCTCATATACAAGCCAGCCAATCCAGAGCCCACACAACCAACCATCTCCATTTTCAAACTCTCACACACTAAGCCAATATTCCTCCTGTCCCAAGTCACCCCAGGTCCAGATAGCAGACCACTATAGCCCAGAGAACACCACGATTATTCAAGCTATCTAGTCCTAAATTTACTCAGCACCCTACCCTGTGTCACCTATTCCTTCCTGGGAAAACCCTAGTAAAGGCTCTGCTCTGTACTCTGCTGTCTCCCTTCTGCCTTCTGACCAACACTGGTTCTTCCCTATGTGGTCCTGTGTCGCATTCCATGTTCTATGATTTGTATGTGTCTCCCCAAAAGCATGTATTGGAAACTTAATCCCTAACACATTGTTGTGGGGAGGCGGGACCTAATGAGAGGCGATTAGGCTGTAGGGCTCTGCCCTCATGAATGTATTAATGCCATTATTGCAAGAGTGGATTCCTTATAAAAGAAATGAGTTTGACCTCCTTTTCTCTCTTTCTCTTTCTTGCTCTCATGTTCTCTTGCCTTGCACCATAGGATGGTGCAGCAAGAAGACCCTTGCAGGATGCCAGCCTCTTGATCTTGGACTTCCCAGCCATCAGAACTGTGAGAAATAAATTTCTGTTCGTTATAAATTGCCCAGTCTGTGTATTCTGTTACAACAGCAGAAAACGACCCAAGACACCATGCTTCTTGTTTCTAGGGATCTGTTAAGTATAAACTTCTTCTTTTGTGCCAGTCATTTTGTGTCTGTGTATCTTACCATACCGAATTAAAATAAATCCAGAGTACTTTTTTTGACACGGCCTGTATGCATGCATATGTGTCAGTGTATTTGTGTTTGTGTCTCTGTATGTGTATGTATGTTTATGTATCTGTGTGTGTGTATGATGGGGTATGCAGGTAGGCATGAATACAAGGAAATGAGCTGATTTACTCTGTAGAACTTCAACAGCTCAGGATTTGGGGCAGCAGTGTCATAGCTGAATCATGTTCTCTCTCACCCCCAAAGATGCTGAGGTCCTAACCTCAGTATTTCAGAATGGGACCTTATTTGGAGCAGGGTATTTACAGAGGTAATCACATTAAAATGAAGTCATTAGAGTGAGATCTAATCCAAGATGATTGTGTCCTTACAAAAGGGGAAATTTGGATTCAGAGATAGACACAATAGAAGAAAGGCAACACGAAGACATGGGGAGAGCACCATCTCCGAGCCAGGGAACACTCAAGGCTATCAGCAGCCAGGAGAGAGGCCTGGAACAGACTGTCTCTTGAATCAAAGAATCAACCCTGCAACACCCTGATTTCAAATTTCTAGTCTCCTGAATTGTGAGAAAATTTCTGCTGTTTAAGCCACTCAGTGTGTGGTACTTTGTTACAACAGCCCCAGGAAACTAATACAACCATAGACTAAGGAAGGTGGGGAGAGATATGGGGCTGAAAATGCAGGAAGATTTGAAAGTCTATATATTAAAGGATTGATCCTCAGGATCCTTTTTCTTGGCAGCCTGAAAAATGCCCATTCCTCAGGCATAATTTCTGTCCTCCACATCTGCCTCATCTTCTGCTGCCCATAGGAGATTTTTTTTTTTTTTTTTCCCCTAGGGAAGTTAAACCAGAGACTCTCTGTCTCAAGTTCCCAGTTACTGCAGAAAGTGAGTGTGTCTCAGGACTGAAAACTGATATGAAATGGAGATGTTGCAGGGCCCTTTCTGAACTTTTCTCAAGAACTTAGACAACCAAGAATATACCATTGGCTCCCCCATCCTGCCTCTACCTATACAGAACTGGAGAAAGTAGAAAATTATTTTCTGGAAAATCTGAATGATTATAAAGCACAGACCCTACATACCGACATTTCTGGATCCTCCAATAAAAAAGCTAGCATATTGCCCTTACAGAAAGGCATTACAAAAAACATTAAAGGATCTCAGGCTATGAAATTTAATGCTCATAGTTATAAAAAGAGAGAACCATGAAAATGGAAAAGTATAATTTACCAAAGGAGTAATACAAGAACAACTGTATGAAAGAATATATTTTCCAATTGAAGGGGACGATCTACTATCTAGTGCTGGTACAAGAAGACAATAAGAAAACTTGTCTGTATTGGCTTGTATTCTGCATGTCGTGAGAAAAACGTGAAGAATTTACAACCATTGGTTTGCACCATGCAGTTTGCTTTATTTATGCTCCTTATATCTTTTAGGAGGCCCCTAAGTGACAACTTTTGAAAAGTGGCCTTTGGCTACTGTATCCCTGTGGAGTGCCAGGCACAAGTTATTCCAAAACTTTTCTGGAGGAACACACCTTCAAGTCCACAAATAAGTGTAGAGGAAGATGAGCTCACAAGCCAAAATTAGAAAACACAAGAGAAACACTCAAGAGTCCACAGACAAACCAGAGGACACTATTAGATGCTCAAGAGTTTCTTGCAATACAATAATCAGATGAAGAATGGAAAAATAACAATGACCAGCTATTCAAGAAGATAAAAGGAGGATTTGAAAATATGAAAGAAGAGTGAGACACTATCAAAAAGATCAGACACACTCAAAAAGGAACCAGATAGAACTTTTAGAAATAAATAATACAGTCATGAATTTACATAAAAGTCAAAGAATGTGCTAAACTGTAGATGAGAGAGCTGAAGAGATGCAAAAGATAGGTTTAAAAAATTGAAATGTGGCACAGAGAGATGGAAAACAGGAAGGAGTAGGTAAAAGATACAGGGAGAAATTGATGAGATCCACCATATCCAGTACAGTACCAGAAGGAGAGGAGAGAGAAAGAAGTTGAATGCTCTATCTTACAACTGAGGGATCTTGGTCAACTTCCTTAACCTTTCTAGGTTTCAGTTTCCTTCTCTGTAGGAAACTGAGGTTCAATAATAGTAACTATTCCAGAGGGTTGTTAGGAGATTTGTTAAGTTAATAATTGTAAAGTGCTTAGGACAGTCCTGGCACATAGTAAATGTTGTAAGGCTTATTAAGTGAAAAAAAATATGAATGTTTACTGTAAGAGATTATCTACTTGAAATGGTCAACTGCTATGAGAGGGAGAACTTATTCACCACTCTTATGCTAATTAACCATTTGATTATTACCTCCCTGATCTTTTAAAAGTTTCATGCTCTGCCAGCTGAGCTAACTGGGCATGTCCTCTTTGATCTTTAATACTGAACTAATTCATAAGAATTATACAACTTCTTGTTAAGTTCCAAAAATATTAAAAAGTATAATTCCAAAACACCATTACTTGCAAAAGTTCTTATGTAAGCAAAATAAATGAATCTAGCAAATTTATTTTAAATCATAACACAAAAATCTCATTCTTTTGGTTAAGTGTTCCTAGTTGGCTAAAGAGTTTTTAATCAAGGATAAATGTTAATCACATTATCACAAGCTTTTTTCTACATCTTTTGAGATAATTAAATATTATTTTTATTCTTTCATCTGTTAGTGTAGAGAATTGCATTCTCAGGTTTTTTTTAATGTCAAATTCTGCTTGCATTCCTGGGATATACTCAATTTTGTCAAGATACTTCAAAAATTAATATTGGATTTAGTTACCACTTTCTAGAAATTTTTGCATTTATGTTCTTAGCTGAGATCAGCCTTGTATTATTCTTGTCGCATTTTAGGATAAAGGATAGTCTAACCTCAAAAAAAAAGCAGGCTAATGTTTCTCTCTCGCTCATCTCTGTAACAGTTCAGGTAAAATTAGCTTTATCATTTCTGTGAACTCTATACAATTGTCTGGGTCTAATAACTTTTTAAAAATTATGGTAAAATGTATATAACATAGCCAGCTTACCCATTTTAAAGTGTATAATTTAATAGTTTTTTAGCACAGTTGCAATGTTGTGCAACTGTCACCACTATGCTTCCAAAACTTTTTCATCACTCCAAACAGAAACTCTACACCCATTAAATAATAACCCATTCTCCCTTCCCTCATTACCCCTTGGTAAACTTTAAATTACTTTCTGGCTCTATACATTTGCCTATTCTAGATATTTCATATAAGTGGATTATTACAATATTGTCCTTTTGCGTCTTGTTTAGTTTACTTAGTATAATGTTTCCAAGGGTCATCTATGTTGTAGCATATATCAGTACGTCATTCCTTTTTAAGGCTGAACAATATTCCGTTGTATATATAGACCACATTTTGTTTTTCCATTCATCTGCTGATGGACATTTGGGTTGTTTCCACCTTTTAGCTATTTTGAATAATACTGCAGTGAACGTTTGCTTCAAAGTATTGGTTTGAGTATCTGTTTTCAATTCTTTTGGGTAAATACCTAGAAGTGGAATTGCTGGATTGTATGGCAATTCTGTTTAACTTTTGAGGAGCTGCTGAATTATTTTCCACAGTGGCTGCACCTTTTTACATTCCCAGTAGCCCTGTACAAGAGTTCCAATTTCTGCGCATCCTTGCCAACACTTGCTGTTTTTATTTTTTTTTATTATTTTATTTGAGACTGAGCCTCTCTCTGTTGTCTGGGCTGGAGTGCAGTGGCACGATCTTGGCTCACTGCAACCTCTGCCTCCTGGATTCAAGCTATTCCCCTGCCTCAATCTTCTGAGTAGCTGGGATTACAGGCACCTGCCGCCATGCCTGGTTAATTTTTTTTTTTTTGTATTCTTAGTAGAGACGGAGTTTTGCCATCTTGGCCAGGCTGGTCTTGAACTCCTGACCTCAGGTGATCCACTCACCTTGGCCTCCCAAAGTACTGACATTACATGTGTGAGCCACTGCACCTGGCCATTTTTAGTTTTTTAAATTATGGCCATCATAGAAGGTATGAAGTGGTATCTCACTGTAGTTTTAATTTGTATTTCCCTGATGAGTAGTGATGTAGACCATCATGCTCCATTGTATGTATTGGCCATTTGTATATCTTTTTTTGAGAATTGTTGTATGTGTGTGGGTGGTTGTAACTAGCATTCTGACCACAGACTCAATTTCTTTAGTCCCTACAAACGTATTCACGTTTTACATTTCTTCTTATTTCAGTTTTAGTATATTATATGTTTTTAGGAAATTGTCCTTTTTCTTTTTAAATTGATTAACATATGGTGTTTCAAAATATTCTTTATTATTTTAAAACTCTGATAGACTTTCAGTCATATTCCTTTTATTATTCCTAATAATAAACATCCTGTGCTCTGCTTGGTGTGCCTCTATGGTGGCTTTATAAACAAAACCCCAAATTCTTTGACACCCCTTTAATCAAGAAGTGGGGTCTATCTTTTCTCTATTTGTAACTGAGTGGATTAGTAACTGTATTGACCAAGAGAGTATAGCAGAAGTGATGCTGGCTTTCTGGCTGAATCATGAGGCTAAGCCATGAAAGATGATGTGGTTTCTGTGTTATTTGCCCAAACTTTTATACTTAGAACCCTGACCCACCATGTGACAAGTCTGACTACTTTGAGACCACCATGCTATGAGGGAGCCAGGCCACATGCGAAGGCCACACATACACACTGTGTTGGCAGTCCTAGCCTGAATCGTCCTAGCCAGGGCTCTAAACATGAGAGTGAACAAACATTCGGATGATTCCAGCCCCAAGTTGTTTAGTTGCCTCCTCAGGTTCAAGTTCTCTCAGTGAAGACTCCAGACATTATGAAGCAGAGATTGGTGAACTAAGTGTGCTCTGTTCAAATTCCTGTCTCCCAGAATCCATGTGCATTCTAAAATAATTATTTTAAACCACTACATTTTCGGGTCATTTGTTATGCAACAATGACAACTATAGGAGTTACATCTTTAAATAAATGAAACATATGAATGAATGAATGAATGAATGAAATACATTCATGATTTTTTTACATGGAATTCTGAGGTACATACTTTTTACATGTTGCTATAGTTTAAATGTTTTTTTCCACAATTCATGTTGAAGTTTAATTGCTATCATAACAGTGTTGAGAGAGGTGGGACCTTTGAAAGGTGATTAGGTCATGGAGGCACCACCCTTATGAATGCATTAATGCTGTCATTGAGGGAGTGAGTTAATGATCACAGGAGTAGTTTTCTGGTAAAAAGGATGAGTTCCGCCCCCATCCTCTCTCTGTCTCAGTTTGCTCACCATGTGATCCTTTCAGTATGTTATGATGCAGCAAGAAGACCCTCACCAGATGCCACTCCTCAATCTTGGACTTCCCAGCCTCCAGCACTGTGAGCCAAATAAATCTGTTTTCTTTATAAATTACACAGTCTGTGGTATTATTTTATAGCAGCAGAAAATGTATTAAAGGACATGTTGTCTTAGTTGGCTTGGACTGCCATAACAAAATACCATAGACTGAGTAGCTTAAACAACAGACATTTATTTCCTGCAGTCCTAGATGATGGAAGTTTGAGAACAGAGAGCAACATGGTCAGGTTCTGGTGAGGGTTCCCTTCCTGGCTTGTAGATGGTCACCTTCTATCTATGTCCTCACAGGCTAGAGATCAAGTGAGCCCTGCTCTCTCTTCTTATAAGGACACCAATCCTATCATGGAAGCCCCACCCTCATGATCTCTTCTGAACCTAATCACCTTCCCAAGACCCCAGCTTCAAATACCATCACATTTTGGGGTAGGTCTTCGACATATGAATTTTGCAGGGAACACAAACATTCAGTATGTGACACACATATACCTAAAAAAATAAGCAAATGCATTCAATGCCTTTGAGGATAATGCCACTAAAGCATGATGCATTTGAAGCCTCTTTGGGAGACTAGGATACTGTACAACATTAAAAATTATACAGCCCAATGTGAGACTACTATGCTACATTCTCTTTGGGGTAAAGCTGCAATGGTGCATTATTTAGGTCAATAAATGGCTAAAATATGCCTTTCACACCTGTACATGTGAAACACAATCGTAGCTTTGGATGAATGTGTCATTCTTACTGGTTCTTTGAATTTTATACTACTTTTGATTGTAGTTGATTCATTCTCTCCGAAAGAAAAATTTATCACAAGGGAAAATCTCACTAAAATAAGGTTTAGGTTGGATGCTGAATAATGACTTTTGAATCATAAATTTTGTAAAACCATGCCTTTCGATTTTGGATTTATCTTTTCCAGTTTACTAAATTAGATACCTCTCTCCCTCAAACATAACTTGAATTCCAGCAAATTGGAACCTCTTGTGTTTATGGTAAATAGAGAGAAACACTTATTGACTCAGATACATTGACTGTGTAGCCCGTTTTTATTTTATCGCTACTAAAGCATTTAATTTTCTTCCTCTAGTGCTATGATTTTCAAACTGATTTGAATTGCACACTGTCTTCTTATTTGCTGCATTTCACAACATTCTCGCTTTCTAAGAGAGCTGTTGGAGCTATGGAGAATAAAATGCTGTAAGACTCTTTTTATTTAGAGAGTCATGCCATAATTTGAATTAACTAGAGATGCTCTTGCATATCAGAGAAAACTGCTGTTCCAGTATAAGTAGTAAATTTTTATTATTTTTGTTGAAAAGGATATTTTTTTACAATTTTTATATTCTCTTCTCTCCAGCTACTTCCCTTAAATGCATCTCACTGGCAGGACCTGCTTCACCAGCTTAGTGTACAAATATCATCACAACTCTTTCATTTTCTGTGTGGTTGCTTGAAAATGTTCTTTCCTTTTTTAGCAGGACATGTAATGTCTCCATCTTGAAGCTTCATTGCTATCTAGAATTGCTCATAAATCTTGAGGGGCTCACTTGATTCAAAGGGTAACCCTTTGTACAAATGCCAATGGAGAGAGAAGTAGCTAGTCAATTACTGCTGGAAATGTTTCCCAGGAAGTCTAAGCAATTTTGCTGTCAGCTACACGTATACGCCTGCTAGTCCATATACTCATACCAGCTGCCTCACATTTGAGATTCCAGGTTTACTCTCTTTCAGGTTATACTAGTGCTTTTCAACCAGTGTTGACTCTCTTGGACATTTGGCAAAGTTTGGGGATATTTTTGGTTGTCACAGCTTAGTAGGGGGAAAGGAGTGCTATTGACATCTCGTGGGTAGAAGCCAGGAATACTGCTAAACATCTTACAATGCATAGAACTGTCCCTGCACTGCCATTCCAACATAAAAAAAATTATCTGTCCATGTATGTCAAGGGTGCTGAGGTTGAGAAACCCTGTTTCTCCAATATAGTTTACACCCATATGATCTGCTTCTGCTTCCCGAATTTGGCAGGTTTTAAGACCTCAATCCCAGGTTACATTTAAACCAGGAATGGACCCTCCCGGAGCCCAACATTCTCTGAGTTC